GTCCCTGAGTCACCTTACCCACCCTCCCCAGCCCACCCACAGCAGGGCTTCCGTTCCCTGCCCTAGATTCCAGTTCCGAGTTGAGGCCGGGCTGCCCCTCTAAACACCAGTCTCTCCTCAACCCCTTACTCCCTGGCCGTGGTCACCTTTCTGAACATCCCCACCCTTGCTGGGCCTGGCCTTTCTGGCTCGTATGTCTGATTCATCGTTCCCTTCGGACAGAAGCACCAAGCTCCCCATCCCTCAAAGCTCGGATGACCACCTCCAGCAGCCGCGTAGTGTTACAGATCCCAGTTTCTCCTTCTTTCACACCAGTCCTTGGGGCTAAGCTCCCAGCTTTCCTTGCAACGAGTGAACTTGAGTTAAGACAATATAAGCATAACCCTCAATGAACAATATAACTTTGTATGAGTGAAAACAACATTCCCTAACAAAGGAGGCCTTCTAAAACAACCCAGGCAAATGCATAGGTGCTGGGTGAGAGAGCCAACACATTCCTCATGGGCACTCCCAGAGGCCGTCTGGAAAATGCAAGCTTTGTTTGGGTGTGGAAGTGATGCAGAGTAAAGGGAGGGGGCTGTGTGCCAGGAAATCAAGGCAACAAATAGGAACTGATGGTGTACAAAGCAAGGCCCTAGGACCCAAGTCAAGAGGGGTCCTGGAATGAATTTCAGTGCCATGGTTATTCTAGAAGTAACACAGAGAACCACGGAGTTTTCTCCATGGTGGGACCTGGGAGCTTAGCTAAAAGAGAGGGTTGAGTACTCTGGAGGCTGGATAGGACTTGGTAGTAGGCAGAACTCAGCAGGCCCAGAGGGGGAACTACAACAGGGGCAGGTCAGACTGCGGGTCCATTCTGTAGATAAGGCAGCCATAGAAGGCCCTGGGGCCCAAGTGTGACATAGGCAGAACTCTGATCAGACACTCAATGGCACCAACAGGGGAGTCTGGAGAGAGGGGGGCCAGAGACCAGAGCTGAGTTATGAACCACTTCATGTGGACACCAGAATTTGGGGATAAGAAGTGGGGGGTGGTCAGGGGAAAAGGTGCCCAAGATGATACTAAGGTTTTGAGTGTCAAGGTGTGGGTACATCATCTGAGATCTGGATGCAGAAGATTCTCTTGGTGGTTTGGTTAGCACATGCTGAAGTTGAGGGGCCCAGGAGGCATCAGAAGCAAGGGTACACAGTTCAGGAGTGAGGCTCTATCTGGAGATCCAGATTTAGTGTTGCTCACACAGTGAGTGACAAGGTTAGAAGGAGAGAGAGATGATGCTGACAAGGGAGAACACTCAAGGTCAAAAGAAATCAGTCCGACTGACCAGGTACACGAGTCACCATTACATCCAGACTGCTGACCCAGCTACCTTCCCTCTCTACCTGTCCCCGTCTCCTCCACCTTCCCAGGCCTAGCTCCACCCTGTCCAGGAAGCCCCTTCTGGCTGTCCAGCCCCAGAGGTCCCCGCCTGTTGGGAGCATCTCGACATTAGCAGCCCACACATCAGCATCCAGCCCTTGTTGCCACCCGAACCAGTCTCCCAGCACCTGGAGCACAGAACCATGGTTTACCCCCTTGGCTCTTGGTATCTTTGGGCACAGGCACCCAGAAGGCACTGAATAAATGGGTCCTCCTGGATGGACTGATCGATTGCTGGGTTGGAGGTCAAGTTGAAGGGTAAGGAGACCAGCGGGTAGTTTGACTAGTGATAAAAGACTCATGAGCATGGGACTCGCGACATCCCCTCTTTGTGTCTGGCTTCTCGACTTTTGGCTACGAATTCAATCTACGTCAATCAACAAGGATACATTTCAACAACGCTGTTGAGGAAAAACAAGGTGCAGACAGATGTGAGACCCACTGAAGTCATTAGCACTGTCGACTGAATATCTCTGGGGTCCCCCATGTGCACGGGAGTGCTCTCCCTCATTCTCCCTGAAGCAGGTGAGGCCGCAGGGGGCTTGCACTGGCCATTCACGGGAATAGAAGCTTCTGGGTGCAAGCTGTAAGGGCCAGTGCACAGCTGACTATTTCTCACCTTCCTTTCTCAGTCTCCATCACCCTAGGTCTCTGAGTGACCCCTAAGGACAGAAGCCCACCACAGACCTTTATCAAACATGTCCTTGAAGGATAGCAACGCTTGCTGTGTTAAAAAAAAAAAAAAAAAAGGAAAGGAACGAAGTAGAAAAAGAAAGAAAAAAGGAAGAAACCAGTCAAAGACAAAACTGTAATGGCTTCAGATGGGGGTGCTTGAAGGATACAGTCAGTTTCTGGGTGGGGGGGACACCCTCAGCAGTTTGAAGGGGACAAGGGGTTTCGTGGCTGGTTGAATGGATTGTCACATCCTTGGCCCCAACCATGAAAAGCTGGAGGTGTCCCCCATTACACAGCAATCTAGAACATGCCCCTCAAATTTCCAAACATTCCTGGGGGGCAGAGAGCAGCCCTCAGAGAACCATGAATGGAGAGGGGTCGCCAGAAGCTGGGGGCGGGAGGCACAGCGGGGGCCTCGAGGGGACAGCTGGGCAGCAGGAGAAAAGAATCTGATGGGTGACACCAATGTGACCCCAAACTGCCCCAGCGGGACATGGCGAGCTGAGCATGAGGAAGCCATGTCTCACAGTCCGCAGAACTGAGCCAGGTCATCCCGGAGGGAGGGGGACACACGAGGTAGCTCCAGCAGTGACAACATGCTCTGATGCCCATTTGTCAGCGTCCTGAACCACGACCCTTATGTGGGGGAACATAGGACCTCCTGCTCAAAACATAAAGCACGTCCTTTCCCCTCTTACGGATGAGGAAACAGAGCTGGAGACTCGACGGCTAGTCTGAGCAGGAGAGAGCTAAGCGGGAGAGGTAAGGAGGGTGAGCCTGGAAAGGAGGGAGATCCTGGAACAGAGCAGGTGGGACTAAGTCGCAACCTGGATGGGACAGTGGGGGGAGGGGGGTCCCAAGGCCAGGCTGTAGGAAGAGAAGGAGACTCAGGGGTAACCTCTCATGTTTCAGCTGAAGGCGGAGACTCCAGGTGAAGTGACTGGAAGGGGGAGAGGTTCCTGCCAGCTGCCTTTCCCGAGCTCGGGCTTCCCAGGGAAACGAGGGCAGCAGGGAGCCACCTTGGGGACCCCCATCTCCAGTCTGGAGGCTGCTGCTTCTCAGGGAAGAGCAAACCTCTTGGTGCACACCAGCTATCCCTCAGCAGCCCCTCAGTGTCTCACAGACGGTTCTTGAAGCCAGAGGCGAGAAGACAAGTCATTGTGACCAGACGCATCAGTCCTAGGATGAATGAAGTCTTAGGGGGCCTCTTTGGTACCCAGTTATATGAGACACAGAGACACAAGAGGGCGCTCTATTCAAATAACAGGGACAAAGCCGTTCTGCCCTCAGTTGGAAAGAGGCTTAGTATTTTGAAAAACCTTTGAGATTTGAGACGAACCATGAGAGACTGTGGACTCTGAGAAACAAACTGAGGGTTTTGGAGGGGAGGGGGAGTGGGGGGTTGGGTGAGCCTGGTGGTGGGTATTAAGGAAGGTGCATATTGCATGGAGCACTGGGTGTGGTGCATAAACTATGAATCTTGGAACACTGAAAAAATAAAATAAAATTTAAAAATACATAAAAATCCTTTTGAAACCTCCTTCTTCTTTATCTCCCCCAACTTCCAAGTGTGTAATCAGCCACACCTCACAAACCCGGGGCAGCCGCTCTTTCTGCCCACAGGTCCTGTCCCAGTGCTTTAATAAGACCACCATTTTGCACCAAAAACCCCCCAAAACCAAGACAAACAAACAAACAAACAAAAAAAAACACACCTTTGGGCTACTATTTCTCATGAAGCTGCTACTGGAACTTTGGACAGGATGTTTCTCTCCCTAGAGAGAAACCTCTACCACTGCATTTTTTTTTTTTTTTGCCATCCTTGACCCCCTCCATTGACCCCCAGTTACGACAACCCAACTCCTCCAATTTTGTTTCCAAACACCCCCTCTCCCGACAGCCCCTGTTCCTCATTGCCACCAGAAGATGCCCTCCGGTGGCCCTGGGGAGCTTGGCCATCTCTGCTCTCCCCAACCAACAGAGGAATCCGGCACCTCCCACTTTGATTTGGTGAGTTAGGTACTGCAGGTGCTGGAGATTGGCAGGTCCCCAGTGACACGCCCCGTTTGCAGGTGCTCATGCTCGTGACGACTCTCCGCCTTGGCAGGTAGTGCTATCGTCCCTTGGGACTGGGTGGGATGAGGGCTGCATTGATCACACTGGGGACACAGACACAGGACCCTGAGACAGACACCACATCCCCGGGAGCAAACACGTGGTCACACAGAACACAGCTGGCACAAAACTTCCACAAAGCAAGTCCACAACAAGGCACCCTTCCGAATCCCAGAGGGCCCCACAGTGTGAGTTGTGAGATGCTTAGATCGTTGGGTTTTCAAAGATAAGCACCAAGGGTAAAAAAACCAGCGACGATATTCCAAATATTTACCAACCAATGAGTCCCGGGCCCTGACCAGTCAGAATGGAGACCGGTGTAGACAGTTGGAGTGAGCAGTGCCTTTGTGATCAGCCTGGCGAACAGCGTGTGGGCAGAGCCTAAGTCCCCTGTGGGACAGTGGACATGCCGAGGTGGCTGTTCGCGCAGGACAGAGTGATCTGGGGGACCATGCACGAGGTAGATGGCAGTCGGGACACGGGATCTAAGCGGCGCGCTGTCAGCCCCAGTGCAGTGACCAGAAATGCAGTGGACATCCGAAGAAAGAAGGGGCTGGAGGAAGACCCAGACTGCTCCAGTCCTCGGCACACAGTAGGCTCCCATCCCCCGCCAGAGAACCCGGCGTTGGGGAACAGAGACGGCCAGCGAGTCCCGCGAAGGTGGTGGCTGCTGGAAAGCGCCCATGCGCGCCGCGTGGCCCAGGGAGACACTCACCGCCTCTCACCATGGACGGTACCGCCTCTGCCTCCGCAGGAAGCAGAACCAAATACTGCCAACCAGACACGATTCTTACCCTCCTTCGAAGATTTTGATCCTCGCTGGCTCCCCTCGTTTGGAGGCGGGAGCGTCCTCCTCCGGCTTCCCTCGCTTCTCTTCTTCCTTCTGCACTCTAGCTAGATCTTTCTGGCCTTCCGGGGAAACCAGCGAAGGGAGGTGAACCTGGCCCACCACAGGAATGACAAAATCACAAAGTCAATGACACAAGCACTGCGTGGAGCGGGAGTCGTGGAACGGGGCCTTCGGGGGCCCTGCGTGCCTACACTTCCCTGCATGCGCCGCACTCGCTCTTCCCTCTACCCTGCGAAGACGTGCTGGAAGCTCCAGTTGGCAGAAAGAAGGAGCTGGTTCCCCAGAGAGCTGAAGTCCCTTCTCCCAAGGCCACCTGATTAGTTGGTGTCCAAACTGGGACTCTCATCAGGACTTTGTCGTGGAAAGACCAGGCCTTCCCATGAGAGCCGTGTTTGCTTTTTCTTTTCACACTGGTCTAGAACCTTCTGGGGACAGGCCCTTATCTTGGTGTCCTCGGTCACACCTGCACCCGAAACAAGGCCTGCCTCAGAGAAGAGTGTGAGGGAGGAGGAGCAAATAAATGAAGCCTCCATGCCGAGATTAATTGCTCCAATTCTCCTTTACAAATCAGAAAATGAAGGTCACCCTGCAAGTTAAGGGCATGGCGAGGAGCAGAGTGTAGGTCTTCTGAGGGCCCTGACCAAGACTCTGCATGCACACTGATGCGCATGCACCTGGAGGGCGTGTGCAGGCTCTGGCCGGTAGTCTAAGGGAACCCATTCTCTTCACAGAGCTATGGGCCTCAGTGGTGGGAGCTGGCTCAGGAGGGAAACAGGTCCTCTAGACCCTCTGAGGGCAGCAGCGGTGGGCACACTCCTGCATGGGGAGCAGCGGTGCTGGGCTGGGGGCCCAGAGTGAGACTCTCTTCCTACTTCACGCCACTGTCAGTTAAGGTCATGGTTACAGCCCGTGGGAGAAGCACCCATTTCTCTTGATGCCAGGACAGTCTAAACCACAGGCTCCCAGGCCAGCCATGCTGTTTGCCCTTATGTGGGGTGCTTGGGCTGAGCAGAAAGGGAGCTGGTTGGGAGTCAGGGGACCTGGGTGTTAACCCCACACAGACTCCATTGCACACTGAGCCATGCTTGGGTGGCTCTAAGCCCTCCTCTTTCTGGGCTTAGTTCACCTCTGAGGGGATTTAGATCATCTTGAAGATCTATCCCAGGGCCAATGTCTATGACTCAGTGACCCCCCCCAAACTGTCTCGTCAGCACTGGAGATGAGGAGTGGAAACCGAGGGAGGCTAAGGACTGCTGCTCTGGCAGAAGGTAGCAGATACTGCGCCGTGCCCATGGAGTTCCAGAACACGCTCTTTTCACTCCTATCTTGGCCTGCCATCTGCGCCATCCGTGGAATGACCAAGGGGGACTTCCACAGGCTGACGGAGGACTTCTCTCTCGCAACCAGCTGTGATGTCTGGGCAGAGCTGGAGGAGACTGGTTTGGTGGCAATGTGCCATTCTATCGGAAACACTGTTGGAACTGAGAGGGGGACCAGGAGTCTGCACTGGCTTTTAAAGACAATAATATGATTGTCTTTACATCATAAAAATGATTGTTGAGTGCTGGTATGCCAAGCACTGTTCTGAACACACTTTGTATATTTTAACTCACTTACCTCCACAGCCCTAGAGCTGAGTATTTTTTGCATCTCTAGTTTATAGATGAGGAAACCAAGGCACAGACAGAAGAGGTAACTGGCCCAAGGTCACACAGCTAGTATGTGAGGTTGCGGGAAATGTGGCACTGAGTCCTTGTTTTCAATCTGTTTGCAATATGTGGTTGTCAAAGTGACCCCCAAAGGGGAAAAAAAAAGCAGGAGAAACTGGGAAATGGGACATGGCTGCAAAGTGACTTTTGTCTAAGCTGGGGTTTCTCCAGGGCTTAGATATGGGGGAAAAAATACCTGTGACCCAACTGATATTTGATAGTGTGGCCTAGACCTACATAGTTTAGATAGTTTAGAAGATCTTTACAATGCTAAAATAGCCCAAAGGGCTTTTCAGAGCTACTAACAGAGAGTGGAAACTATAAGACAAACAACAGCTCAGGAAAGAACTCTCTTAAAGTACTGTCCAAAGACTGGTTGGGTTGTACCAATAGGTGATGAGCTCCCCATCACTGGAGCTATGCAAACAGAGGCCAGAGAGAGAGAGAGAGGTGTGTAATTGTAGGAAGGCATGAAGCGGTGGGCCATGCAGCTATATGAATACACCATACGGGTGCGCTTCTGGTAGGAAACACGCCAGTGAATCTAGCATTTTATTTCAAGAAAAAGTTTGCAGGTTTCAGCTCATTTGATGAAAGATGCCTTTTAAACCAAAGATGGCCAAACTCAATTAAGTTAACTCTTCCTTTCTCGTACACGGACTTTTATTATATAGTCATTCAAACAGAGGAAGTCCAGATCGTTGGAAAGGGCTTTGGAATGAGGTCTGGTTTTGAATTGCGGTGCTGACATTTACTGTGTAGCCCTCTTCAGGTTACCTAACTTCTCTGAACTGGCCATTTCATCTATAAAATGGTGATACAGTACCCTAACTTTCAAGGTCGTTGTGAGGTTGAAAGCAAAGTTCTACATGACGTGGCCCACAGCAGGGGCATGAGAAGTTGTAAGTATGAATAAAATTACAAAAGCATCTTGGGGGGAGCCGTGGCCAGGAAGACATGCTGGAGAGAAATCAGTCACAATGTTTATGGCAAACATGGAGATCTCATCTAGGGATGTCTGTAAACTGACAAGGATATTCAGAGACTAGATCTGGGAAATAATCCTGTGAAGACTATCCAGCTGAGCTAAGGACGAATTTGGTGCACAAAATTCACTGGGTGATCAAAGAGGAGGAGATGAATATAGGAGGAGCTCCCGAACACAGTTTTGTTCGTGTGTCTGTGATACGAATTTAGTTTAGTGGATTTAGGCCTGATTTGATCAAAGTGTCTGATCTGAAGACATTTTGATGAACATTTTAAAATCTGCAGTCACTTTTATGGTTTTGTTTCCTCCATTAATAGAAAGGGAAAAAAAATTGTTTCTCTGGAGTCAGAGAGGTCTAAGTTCAAATTCTGAATGTGCCAAAGACCTGCCATGTGACCTTGACCTCTCTCACCCTCTGACCCTTGGGTCATCCATAGCTGAGCTGGGAGGTGGTCTGGCTGCCTCCCAGGTAGAGACAGCACTGACTGGGTTCGGCACAGCACCTGGCACACCAAGGTGACTCAATCAACAAGACCAACTCTTATTCCACACACACCAAGCTGGCGTAGTTTCACATGGCCTGGGTGCTCAGGCTGGCCCTACCGGGGTATGCGGGTGTCGTGTATCTGAGGCAAAGAGGGAATTATCAAATGTCAAACTCCCTGGACTGGCAGGGGTCTGTTCGCTGTATGGCTCCTGAAGCAGGCTCGGGTCAGAGGCACTGGAGGAGAAGCTGTGACCTTGGTCAGGGCTGGGTGCTGCCACACGGAATAGATGGGTCAGGCTGTGCGTGATCTTGACCCCTAGTGGCAACGAGGAACACTGCAGCCAAGCTCTGTTGGCTATCCTGCTCACGGGAGAGAAAGCAGTGGTATTTCAGGAGTTGCTGTGTCACATTCTAGAAACTTGGGGAGTGGGAAGATTCTGAGTGCTACCAGAGAATGGAAATAGCAGGTGTGGAGAATAAGAAAATCAGGAGAAGGCTAACAGGACTACGGAGGAACCCGTGGAGTGGCATAAAGTTTTGAAAATGTAGTAGGCTTTCCCACCAGCCAAGTTTTCCAACTTGGTCTCTTGGAGAACATTTTCCACCCTGGCTCCGACTGTGTCTTTGATTTGACAATAGTGGCTAATGGGAAAACAGGACGACTTTAAAGCTCATTTCATTGGAATGTATCTAGTCTGGTGATGGGAGAGACACACTGACAAAGAAACCCAATAAATATGTTTCCTTATAAGATGCCCAGTCACAGCTGACAGGGGGCAAACCCACCCACTCACCCGGCTCTAGTTACGCAAATAGAACTTGAGGGGAATGTGCCTTTAAAAGCTCAGCAGGACATCTAAAGCTGACTTACCTCTGTCATGCGCGGCTTGCGGGAGCTGGATGGCACAAGCCTTCCTGTCTCAGGATGCGGAGCTGTGGCCATGGTGTATGTTTCTTTGCTCACCTTCTGCTTAGACCTCAGGAGGGACAAAGCAGCTTTAGTGGAAACCCCCGGAAGGTTGGGGTTGTACAAACTTATGCACCAACCAGCGTAAACAGAGGACCTCCTATCTGCATGCTGGATGTGATTTGGCTTAATGTAGTTTAAATAGCACCAACTGACATTAGTGGTCGTGTGGAGGCTGGGGGACTGCAGTACCTTCTTTGAGTCCGTACCTTCTTGTGACTTGGCTGGCCTGGGGGACGTTTCTGACAGAGGCAGCGAGCTGGAAGGTGCCAGTGGAGGGAGGTCAGGTTGTTCCTTGGAATCTTCTTTCTTCACACTCAGTGGGGGCAGCCCTCTTCGGTGAGGCTTACTGGATGGCTGGGTGTATTCCTTCAATGCCTCTGAGCCTGGGGTTGTTGCATGGGGCAATGAAGAGTGCGGAAGGGGAGTCATTTCCTTTGGGTCAGAAGGATCTGAGGATAGGCTGGATGCTGTTTCTAGCTCCCTCCTGCCCTGGCCCTGGCTGCCCAGGTGGGATTTCTCTGGCCTTTTGCTGTCCTCTGTGCTGGTGAGCACCACGCTGCATGGTTTTACCAGCTCGAGTGTTTCATCCGCCTTGGAAACCTCCTCTTCCTTCACCCTTTTTTGCTGCTGGGTTTCCATGGTAAGTTCCAGGCTGCCAGCCGGTGAAAGGACGCGTTTGCTCCCCCCGACTGTGGAAGAACTCCCCTCCAAGCTCACAACAGTCTCTGATGACAGGGAAGTGCCTTTTCTTTCTGGTAACGTCACAGGCACTCTCAAGTATGGAGTCGGGAAGCCTCTGCTCTGCTCTTCACTTCCCCCAGCTGAGCCAGGCCTGACCTCGTACACGTCTGTCCCACACACTGTCGTCCCTTTGCATGGGGGCTCCTCACACTTGGGAAGAGGTGCAGTTGCTGAGCTGCCTTGGGACTGGGTGACCAGGAGCTGGGAGAGGGTGGTGTACATGACACTCCCATAGGACGGCATGTTGGTCTGAATGCGGACCGGCACAACCAGGGACACCGTGGCGTCGGGACAGGCCGGCAGGGTAGGCGGAGGGGCTGATGTGGGTGCTGAGCAGCTGGCTGGGGGATCCCTGGGGGGCAGCTGGACATCACTGCCGTACTCTGTGCTGGGGGAAAGGCCCGTGCTTCCTGTTGCCAGTGGGGCAGGGCTGGTTTTGATCTGGGGCAGATGGCTTTCCACATCCCCAGGGAGTGGAAGCGAGAACTGGGATTGCAGAGGCAGGAAGAATCCAGAAGAGAGTGCTGATGAGGCTGGGTAGGGCACGGGGAGAAACGAAGGGGGCTGCCGGAAGGGGATGCTGGCTGGGTGAGGCAGGAGCTGGGGGAGGGGGAGCTGGCCGGGGTGCAGCACGGTAGGCTGGAGAGGAAGTGGCGGGGCTTGAAATAAAGAGGGAGGAAGAGGGGGCATAGAGTATGGTGCGGAGAGGAGGCTGGACATGGCCTGGGTGGAGAAGAACTCTGAAGACTGTCCCGGCTCATGCTGTAAGAGGTGCTGGAAGGAGAAAAGGGAGACGGGCGGGGGCAGGTACGGCTTCTCATGCAGGGGCAGCTGGGCAATGGGGTGGTGAAACACCTGCAGGGCTTCTGTGTAGGGTGGAGTGGACCCTAGTGGGGGTCTGTCCTGCACCTGGCTCTTGCCTCCCGGGTGCCCGCTGTTCGAGGTGGCCGCTGAGGAACTCTGGAGCAATGAGATTTTGGTGGAAGGTTTACTGCATGAGGGCTTTGGTTCCTCGCTCTCCTGTCTCCCCTTGGGGGTGGCCTCTAGCTCGGTGTCTGGAGGCCTGCTCAGAGAGGCCTGTCTCACCAAAAAGCATTTCCTTCTCTCTGGTGGGGCCGGCGGGACCACGGGGGCCACGGGGGTTGCTGGGGCCAGCACAGAGGGGCCTGCCAAGGACAAGCTGCCATAGTCGAATGATTTGCTGCGTGTCTCAGTCATATGGGCAGAATGGGAGATGTTGGGGCTCTGCTCTGAGGCTGACCTCCGCATCTCTCGGGCGTGTGGGTGGTGGCTGGGGACAGTCAGCATGTGGGTGCCCAAGGGTTTGGGGCGTGGGTCGGATGAGAGCCCAGGGGCCTCGGCTTTTCCGTGGTCATCCCTCTCGAAGGAGGCGGAGCGGCTGGACCCGCTCAGGGAGACACTGCTCTCCTGGCTGGGACTGCGAGACCGGGGTGCGGACGACTCAAAGCTGGACTCCCCCGACGACTGGGCCATCTCTGCCAGGCGCAGCCTCTTCTTCTTGGGTGGCAGCTTCTCAGCTGGGAGCTGGGCAAGCGTCTGGCTGCGCTGGGGCCACTGGAATTCCTCTGTCTTCTCGGGTTCCTTAGGGGGCGGCTCAGGCTCCGTGTCTGGCCGGTCGGGCTCCTCAGTCACCAGGATCTCGGGGACCTGAATGTTGGGCTGGCGGACCAGCCTGGGCTGCAGGGAGTGGGCTGAGCGTCCATGCGGGGCAGGGGGAGGGGAGGAGAACGGGACCGGGGGCTTGTCTTCCCCTTCCAAGCCGCTGGGCTGTTCCAGAGAGTCGGACTTCTCGAAGGAGCTGGTGTGCTGGATGACAGAGATTTCTTTGGATGTTGTTCTCCTCTCCTTCCCTGACTCTAGACCAGACCCTGGCTTGGGAGTCCTTGGCTGGAAGCCTGTGGGTCCCTCCAGGGAGGGCACTGACTTACTCGGCTCTGCTGGTGACTTGGCGGACTCCAGGGGAAGGTTCCGAGACGCATCCGACAGGCCGGAGCTGCTGAACTGACTTTTCGTCGACTCGAAGGCCGGTGGCTCTTCCTCATCCCCAAGGCTCTTCTCTTTCCTCCTCTTCCTCAGTGGCGTGAGTTCCAAGGTGGTCCCCAGTTTGTAATGCATCATCTGGGACCAGGGCTCATGCTCGGCCTGGCTCTTTTCCGCCTCCGGGGACGCATGAGCACCACCTGCAGAGACGGGCTTCGAGATCTGAAGCTCTGAGCAGTAGTACTTTCGATGGGCTTCGTAGTTGTCCCTCTTCTTGTACCGAGCACCACATATGTTACATTCATAGATCACCCCTTTCGTCTTCAAACCCTTCTTTGTCTTTTTGGTGAGTTCGCTTTCCTTGGCTTCTGGCTCGTCCGCGGGCTTGGAGGCCGTGTCTTTGCTACTGGGCCCTGCCTCCTCTGAACTGTACTCCCCTCCCAAAGGTAGTTCGATGGCCGGCTGGCGCTTGAGCATCCGGGGGTGGGAGGTAAACACGTGACTGCTGCGGCTCAGGGCTTCCGGGTCGGCAACGTGGTCGTCGAAGGAGTAGCTACCTCGGAAGGTGTGATGGGGGGTGCTGAGGGTGCAGGTGGTAGAAGGCATTGAATGGCTTCTCAGCAGAGGCACAGGGGGGGTGGTGCTGGGCGGGTGCTGGAGGCTCAGCAGTGATTGTTCGGGCTTGGTGGCTTTCTCGCCGTGGGACGACAGGGGCTCCCGGTAGAGGCTGGATTTGGGTGACTCCATGCTGCTGCGCCTGGACAGCGAGCTCCTCCTTGGCTTCACGCTGTCGATCTCGCTGGTGTCCACCACGGCCTCGTTGATGGTGATGAGCTTGGTGATGTGCTCGATGACCTGCGTCCGGGGCACAGACAAAGGCACCAGGCTGGGCTTGTCTTCAGCGGCCAGGGGCAGGAGGGGCTGGGTGGAGGTGGCCGTCAGCATGGCGGTCCGCTGCCCGATCCGCCCGCACTTGCCTAAGATGATCTCTGCGTAGGACCTGGCGTTGGTGTTTGGGGGGCTGACCTGCTGCTCGGCGCTCTCAGAGCGGGAGAAATACCCAGATTCTGTACTCCCTTTGCTGCCTGGGCTCAGAAATGCCTGCTCGTCCATCACCTTCTTCCTCTCACTCAAACGGAGGGCCAGCTTCTGCTTTATGGTGTGGGTGTCTTCGGGTTTCTGGCTCAGGGGGTGTTCTGACGAGGGCTCCGTGAACGGAGCGGCATCCTCGAGCGACGGGGCCGAGCTGGACTGGGACAGGGAACAGCGCTCGTGGCTGGAGCCCTGGCTCCCGGAGCTATACAGACCGCTGGACAGAAGGGGATGCTTAGGCCTGGGGGAGAGCTCTGCAGGGTGGGCGGATGCGCTGCCCGTTTCCTCCTCCGAATCTGTGCTTTCCCCCTCCGTGGGCTCCTCGAACTCCTCCCCGGGGACCCTCTCCATCTCCAGCCCCGGGGGGTACATCTCGCTGCCCACTCCTGAGGCCAGGCCAGCTTTGATGCGGTGGGCATGGGACTTCCTGTGCTTGTACAGGTTACTCTTGGTCTTGAACGAGAAGCCGCAGGGGCCACAGGGGTAGGGTCTCTCGCCGGTGTGCGAGCGGATATGTTTCTGGAGCACACTGGGTTTGGCGCAGGGCCGGCTGCAGTACTGACATATGTACTTGCCTGGCTTCTGGGGTTTCCTCTCCTTCTTGTGTGCCTCTTCTGGGGGCTTCAAGGACACCTGGGAGGGACGGGGCACAAAGACTTTGGGGAGGCCAGGCAGGTCCTCAGGAGGGATGATGGAAGCGTGGGAAGGGAGGAGCTGGCCTGACGGATGAAGCCCAGGGGTCACGAAAGAGCTTGAGGGTCCAGGTCTCATGGGGTCGACCAGCTGCCACGTGGACCCCTCTAGGAGATGCTCCGGTTTGCCAGGCGACATGAATGCTGGTGTCAGAGGGTGCTGCGGAAGCTGTGAGATGGGGATGGAGGTGTCAATGGAGGACCTCTTGGGGGGCTTCTGCTGCTGGCCTGTTTTCTCCTGAGAGCCTTCCCTAAGAACTGACGCAGGGCCCGAGAAGGGCTGTGGGGCTAGGAGCTCCTGGAGGGGGCCCTCTTGGGGGACAGCCGTGCTGCTCCCTGGGTACGGGGCGCTGGACGAAACACTGGCCTGCACGGCTTCTCCTTTGGTCAGCCGCTTCCGGGGACTTCCCTCAGCCTTCTTGGTGCCCTTGACACTTTGTTCAGGATCCATGACCTCCCCAGAGAATTCAGATGCTATTCAGGGAGGGCTGGGGTAGGCTGCATTTATGAATAATCCAAGTGTCCCAAGGTGGTGTCTGGCTTTGGCCACATTGGTCAAGAGCTGCGGAAGCCAAACCCAAGATGGGCTTTGGGAGTTTTTTTGCAAGTGTCACTGGCTGTGAGTGGACTCAGAGCAGGTCATTGGGGCCCAAACTATTCACATGGGTGAGGCATGGCCCTCTACTTTGAAGACAGAAAATTCGTCAGCACTTTCCGCTTGAATGTCTGTTGTGGAAACGTCATGAAAGATGTCAATGTTGCCATCATACTGTTTCAGTTGGCAGTGGCAAGTGGCCACCCACAAGTCCCCTGTGTGCTATGCAAGTGGTCGGAGGCTAGAGACATCTGCAGGCACGTCCCACTCATCCCTTGTCCTGGCGCTGGAGAAGTCACGCTGGCTGCCTCAGGCAGCTCGATCCAGCCCCTTCTCCCCTGGAGTCCCGTGTTGGAGATCCGCGGCCACAGAGGGGGAGTCACGCTCTTCTAGTGATGAAAGCACAAACACAGAAATACACATACACACAAGAGAAGGGAGAGTTACTGCAATGTGTCCACAACCTGTGCAGCATGGACTCTGTGAGACACGGTGATATCCCTAGAAGTTTAACCGGAGAGACTCGACCAGAAGTCACAGCCCTGCCTCCGTGCACCTGAGCACAGCCCGAACCTCCCTCACCTGCATTCACAGAGGCGTTGGGTGACCTGAATGCCACTGGCAGTTCTGAGGACTGTGGGCATGTGGGGCGGTAGGAGTGGGAGATGGGGGAGGGCAGGCTCTGGGAATGGCAGGGAAGTCAGGGATGGGAGGCCTAGGCTCTGCTCTGAGGCAGGTTCAGCTCCCAAAGCCTCCAATGCCCAATCTATATAATGGGATAACATCAAATCCTGCCTCAGTTGCATCTCGGGGCTGCAACGGAGTTCAACATGATAACGGATATGGATGCCACTGGGCAAGTGTGGGCTGATCCTACAGCTGGTGGAGGAGGTGCTGGGGTGTGATTCAGGGATGAGCTCTCCCATATAATCGCAATAATATGAAAATGGATTATTCTCAGGTTAGTATTATTCCTTCTCTGGTCCTGGGCTCTGAAGGTATCTACAAGGGGCATCATTCCTGATCTTATTGCCCTTGCTAACCCAAGCCCGTGTTTCATGGAAAAGCTAAAACCCACTGCCTCAGCCCATGCAAACCCACAGTCTAACACAGCCATGGCTAGTTTGCCAAACAACAGCTGGGAGGGTCATTCTGGCAGGTTCCTCTAGCTTTTCCTGCCAGCCAAAGGGGAGAGGGGGCATGGGGTCCATCACCGGGCTGTGGCAGCCAGAAAGGGAGACATAGCTGAGTTCTTTGCATGAAGCTAAGTTTTGCTTGCAAAGAACTTTTTCCTGTGCTACTTTAGACAGGGGCAGTGAGGGTGCACGAGGTCACCCTACATCTTCAAATGAGAGCCCTCCAGCAAAGGCAGCGACTGACTTTTGTCAACAGAAGGTCATAACTCAGCAAAGGCTCTTCTTTGAGCAATTCAAAGGCCTCTAACTCGGGCAGAGAAGGCATCCTCACGAAGCAGGCTGAGTGTATGGAAGGCTGAGGAATCTCATTTCTCATATTACTCTCAGTAGGATGGTCACATAAAATGGCATCATCCAAAGTGGGGTACTTTTGAGAGTGAAAGAGGCATGACTAGTAATTATGGAGGAACAACAGGACAAAATCAGCGCTGTCCCAGGCAAGCTGGAATGAATGGTCTCCTTACAATCCATAGTTACCTTGTGACCCCAGGCAGGCCCAAGTGCTGTTTCTGGGTGTCTGGTACAAATTTTCATCTCTGCTCTGGGGACTGAAATTACACCATGGCCTCCTAATAGAATCGTAGAGATTGGGTGTCTAGTCTAACCCCCTCACTCGACAGATGAGGAGGCTGAGGCTAGAGGGATTTTCCCTAAAACTTGCACAGCGATGGTGGTGGGATCAGAACCCCCTGTGCCTCCTGATACCTGGCCAGGGCCTGTCCCCTGCCTCAGTGAATAAATGTCCTCTATGACTTCTAGAGGAGTTAGTGGGCATCCGTCTATGGCTCCATGTGTTATGAAAGCACTGGCTTGGCCCCAAGGGGCATGGGCTGTATCCCAGGGCTGTATCCCTGGAGAGCTTCCGAAGGTGTCTAGAAGCTTAAAGCTAAAGAGGCCTTTCAACCTATATTCTACACTTGTTGCAGCTACTGGACAGGAGAAATGGGGGGCACAGCTTAGGTTGAGGAGGTTATGACGATGGCATTACCCCAGGCCTAGCTTATCTAAGCTAAGGTAGGACAAAGCAGAGGCAGTGCAGGGACAGAACTATTCTCTGGGGTGGTCTGGAACGCCTGGTGGGCCCTCGGGTACTGTGTATGGATAGTAAACGTTTTTCTATAGTTACTATTTCCACTGATCCTTTGAAGCAAGGATCTCAAAGCACCCTCAGAATACTAGCTAGTGGTAAGCTTTGCTTCTTCTGATGGATGGATGGGACCCTGGAGCATGACTGATCTGAGTGGGGCTCTGTTGGCCAAGGACGACCCTACATTTTAAGTCCTGCGGCTGTCCCTTCACCCAGCCATGGGCTCTCCAGGGGCCAGGTAGGAGGGGTGGGGAGGGTGAGGAGGGTGAGGAAGACAGTCAGGTAACTGTTGGGTCATCACATGACTCGCTGGGCCAGCACCATGTGCCAAGGGTCAGCCTCCGGCCTCCACCTGCAAGCGGGGCCCTCCTGGCTCAACCCCCTGGAGGAGGAGCAACCAGGACACAACCATACTGTGGAGTTAATGAGGCCTGTGAGCCAGAAGGTCTGCTCCTTTGTTCTGCAGGGAAGGCTCCTGAGCCATGGTGAGCCATGAGCAGCCCAGGACCACACTCGTCCTCATACTCCTGGGACAGGGCTCTCTGCTGTGCTGTCTATACCACATGATGGGTCTGAGGTTCTTAATACAAGAGGCAGTCAGAACTGGGGGTGCAGGCTCAGGGAAAACCTATGAGAACTCAAAGGCCTCTCAGCCTTGGAGTGGATTGCAATTCAGACTGGCATTAATGCTTTCTTACTTTTTAGCTCCTTTAGAAGGATGATTTCTAATCACTGTGACCAAGTGACACCAAGAAAATAGTTTTTTTTTTTCCCTACTGTCTGTGCTTCTGAGGGTATGTGTAAAATGTTAATATAAACTTGATATAACAGAGGAAAAAGCTGCTTCTCCAGAGAATTGGTAAGGGCACCTGTAAAAGTCACCAGTGACGTGAGGTCAGAGGTAGAGGGTTCCCCTGACAGAGCCTGGGAGCCGGGCCAACAGGGATGGACAGAGGGAGGATGGACACTGTCTGCTGATGGTGGCAGAAGGGTCCGGGGGCCCATGTTGTCTGGCACCCAGACCACAGCCCTCAGAGAGCTCTGGCTTAGAAACCAGCTTAGAACTGCAAGGAGAACCTGAGCTTCAAGAGCCGGTTGGTTAACATATCAGACCACCTGGCTTCTACTTCTGGAAGCTTTGTAGGTCTAGCTGTCAGGACAGCCCACAGGGAAGAGGGGAGGTTGCTGGGGCTGGAGACCCACAAAGCATACTCATGTGAGCATAACCACAGGATCAGTTCCTAGAAGGGGAACTACTTGGCTAAAGGGAATATACCTTGAAGCTTTTGATGGGCCCTGACGAATCGCTCTCCAAAAAGCACAAGTTCACGCACCCACCAGTTGCATTCAAGGACTGTTTCTCCGAACATCTTCCTATCTAGAATATAACCAATCTCTTAATATTTACTAATAGAGGAGATAAAATGGCTGTATTAGTTTCCTCCTGCTACTGCCACAAACTGTCACAGACTGTGGCTTCAAACAACACAACTTCTCATGGGACAGTTCTAGAGGTTAGAAGTCCGAAATGGGTCTCATGAGAGCTAAAATCAAGGTAGGGCTAAGTTCCCAACCTTCTTCTTTCTGGAGACTCAAGGGGACAACCTATTTTCTTGTCTTTTCTCACTTCTGGAGGCTGCCTGCTTCCTTGGCACGTGGCCCCTTCCATCTTCAAAACCAGCCAGTAACGGCCAGCCATATCCTTCTCACGTTGAATCATGAACCCTGACTGCCCTGCCCTGCTTTCCACTTGTAAGGACTCTTGTAATGACACTGGACCCAGCTGGATAATCCAGGATCATCTCCTACCTGCAGATTCTTAATCACATATGCAAAATTCATTTTGCCATGAAAGGCAACATATTCACAGGCTCCAGGGATTAAGATGCGTGACTTCTTGGGGAATCATTATTCTGCCTACCACAGTGATATTTTGTTTGTCTTGAATCAGTGTTTCTTAATCTCCAGTGAGGCTTAGAACTCTGCACAAACTTATTAACCCATTATTTCATCCATCGAGTTTTCATATCCTTTGTTTGTGTTCCTAATAATTTATGTTTTTCTTATTGTTTTACAAAAACTCTTTTTATGTTGGGCATATTAGTCCTTTTTATATGAACTGCAAGTATTTTTATTTATTGGTAGTCTTTTTTTTAATTATTATTTTTTTTATGTTAGTCACCGTACACCACCTCATTAGTTTTTGATGCAGTGTTCCAAGATTCATTGCTTACATATAACACCCAGGGCTCCATGCAATACGTGCCCTCCTTAATATACCCAGGAGTCTTTAATTTTTCTGAATAAGAAAATTTTGTTTTTACGTGGTCAAATGTATCATCAATCTTTCCTTTTTGGATTTTTAGATTTCATGTCCAAGATTATTTTCTAGAATGTCACCCAATTTCTTTTAGTTCCTCTATGAATTAATTTTTTTCCTCCCTCCCTCTTCTCCTCGACCTCTTTGTTCCTCCATTCTTCCCTCCCTCCATCCTTCCCTCTCCTACTTCTTTCCTTTCCATTGAGTCTTTGGTTCCATTTGACATTTGTTTTTGTGTAAGGAATGAAGTAGGGATAAAGCTTAATTTTTCCCCATACGGATATCCAGTGTTCCTGACATCATTATTGAAGAGTCCACCCCATGCTCTCAAAATGCCCTGGGACATTTTCTGAAAGCACAGATTCTAGCCCCATTTCAGATCCACCAAAAAAGAATCTCTTGGGAAAGGACCCCAGAATCCACATTATTACAAATTTATCCATGTAAATCTAACATATACATTTCTGTTCTACAGCCTGGTATTTGGGAAAAACTGATGAAACTCCTCTAAGTGCCTCCTGTAACGAATCACCTTGCCTCTAGGTTCCCAACCTTCTCCACCTCACCCCACCATTCACTGTGGAAAGAATAATCTCTTCAATCGTCAACTTCACCCAGCTTCTCCCTCTGCCAAGAATGTCCAATAGCTCCCCACTGCAGGGAGATGCAGCCAATGGCATTTCAGCTCCCATAACAGGCCCCACCTAGCGTTCCCAGCCTCCTCTCTCCACCCTGCACTTTCCCTGTGCATACCCCCTAACTGGCACGCTCTTGACCTCTCTGTGTTTACACACTGCTGTTGCCAAGGGAACACGCAGAGAAAGGAATCTGAACACTAATCCCACAGAGGAGTTAGGGAATGCAGGCAGAAGCTGTGTTTGAGCTGGGCCTTGAGAGATGGGGAAAATGCTGATAGTTAGATTTGGAAGGAAGGGATTCTAGTCTAGGTGGGAGGTACAACACATGCAGAGCACAGGAGGCTGAATGTGGCTACTGGGAATGTTGAGTTTGTGGCCTCTACCCTAGCAAAGTCTTTGGGGCTCCTGAGCCCAGAGTCTGAGCAAGGATCCTACACTGTGCTGAGGTGAGTTCAGGGCACAGACAGGAGCTTCCATACATTCCCTCCTAGACCCTAGAATAACAAAACAAAACAAAACAAATGCCCCAAACTGTGAAGGCCCAGTTGTCCCACACATCTAACTGAGCTGGGGTTAGCATTGGCCATTGGAAAGCAGGTGGAAGGCACAGTCTGTCCCATGGGGTGGTGGCCAGAGGCAGAATGCTGGCTGGATAAAGTTTTCAGGGCAACCAGACCCACACAGGCTCTGGCCTAGACTCACTCATGGAAAATAGGCACTCCCAGGCTCTGATGGATTACCTATGTTGGGATGAAGTTTTCCACTAATCCAACAGGTCCAATAAGGGTGCTTCCTTAAGAAGCCTAAGATGTTGGGCCTGTGGCTTAACCAGTTCATTAGCATCTTTCCAGCAAACCTGTGTCTCCCCGGACTGGACAGGGACTGGGCTTTATTTATCTTCATATTTCCAGTGCCTGGCACTGGATCTAGTATTGAGGAAAATATTGAACATATTTTCAAAATACTTAAAGGAGCATCCACCATGTCCCCAAACTATACTAAAGATTAACATATCGATCCCCACCCAGGTCCTCTTTCGGCAGATGAGAGGACCAAGACTCAGTGAAGTGACGCCAATTGCTTCAGATGACACAAGAAAGGGCAGAGGTAGGACTGAACCCCAAGAGCAGGCTGTCACCTAGCAAAACCCTCAAGAACATTGACCTTGATCACGAAGGCTCAGATAGATCTCCTCTTCCTTTTCAGTACCCCAGATCCTCCAGGAAGTCTTCTTGATTAATTAGAGCCACCCCCATTTGCATCAAATTCTCCTCCCCATGTGTAAAATCACTCTTCATGACTCCGCTAAACTCAGGGCTGAGTTTCTTGATAAATGCTTCCCTAACCACAGTGAGTAGTTGATTATTCACTGTCTGAAAGATTCCCAAATCATTTCCCTTGGATGACTGTGGTCTCTGCATTTCTAGTTTTCCTTCTCCTCCTCCCTAACCCCAAAACTCAGACAGGACTTGGAATTTCTGCACACTGGTCAAAAAGTAAAGTCTCTTCATAACAAAGAGGAACCTAGGCAACCCTGGGTGAGTTACACCAGGCTGGTGTTTGTCCTCCTGTTAAAGAGCCCAGGGACTGAGGTGGAATTGACATTACAGGGCAGACAAGGTCTCTAGCAACATCCCTGAGGAAAGCAGGAACATTCTTCACAGTCAAGACCAAGAAATAATGTGGACAGAACTTCACTCTGTCAGACCAGTGGAAGCCCAGACTTAGTCCTGAGTACATGTAGTTGTGACAACTCAGGAAAGGAAAGTCCTGACCTATGTTCCATGTCTAGAGGGACAAGTGAGCTCTTAACATATGTTGGGGTTGTTCCTTGTATTCTATACAACAGCTCTATCAGGCTGGTGCTATTATAATCCTCATGTTACAGAGGAGGAAGCTGGGGCACAGAATGACGAAGCTGGTAATAACACAGCCAGAAATGGAACCTGGGCCATCAAAGGACCTCTGCGGTAGAGACCCTAAAGGCAGTAGAATCCTGGGGTGCCTGGGGGGCTCGGTCAGTTAAGCGTCTGCTTTTGGCTCAGGTCATGATCCCGGGATCCTAAGATAGAGCCCCACATTGGGCTCCCTGCTCAACAGGGAGTCTGTTTCTCCTTCTCCCTCAGGTCCTTCTCCTCACTTGTGCTCTCTTTCTCTGTCTCAAATAAGTAAAAAAACAATCTTTAAAAAAA